ATAGGCGAATCGTTAAATCTAATAGAAGATTGAAGAAATTTTGCAAAATATTATAAAAATTAAAAGGTATACAATTGAGCCCCAAAAAAGTTTAGAGGTCTTATTTGGAATCTCAAAAATTAGCACACTTTCTAACACCTGGGTGTGTATAATAAATATAAGTCGGGTTCAAACGAGAACATTGAACAAATAAGAGAAAACGAGAACAACCAAGTCACATGCAATTTTACACTAAATTACATGCAAAATCACACGTGATTCAAACGACCTTATAATGGCGACCTGAAGTTGCAGGCCAGGTCGCTTGCTCAACTTTGCAATGACCGTGTTCCATAATCGCATGTAAAATCACATATGGTTTAATCACTTTTTTATTCTTTTATTTTATTCATGTTTTATTTTGATCCTTCCCATAGATATAGATACATGTAAGTATATATATTGGAGTTTGTTAGAACATCAGTTCTTGATCAGGTCGGAGGATTGTGTATCAGGATCATGTAATAACCAGTGTTTGAAAAAACTCACCGCAATAGCCGTTGTGGAGCGCAATGGCTCAAGGCTTGTGTCTCACGCCACATTATGCTTGGGCACGCCATGACCTAATGCACGGTTTTTACAACGCAATATTTGATTTTTCTTACCTTTTTAATGTGTTATTTGTTAGTTTCTAATATATAACCTAATTTAAATTATATAATATCATTGACTCAATGAGTAATAATAGGAAATATACGTTTATATATATAATAATTTATATGATATAAAGATTTGTCATTGTAAATCATACCTTAAAAACAATGCAACCTCACCGTAACTCTTATCATTTAAAGCTTGATCTCGTCGTTACGGCACACATCAACTTACGTCATTCTATTTTGAGCGTCGGTAATAACTAGACAAATAAGAAAAGCAAGAAATCAGCATTTACGATAAATTTTAATTAAAAAAAACGTAATTATTATTTTATCATTTTTGACCTCGACCTTGTTGCAATGGAATCCGCCGACGGTAAACGACAAAAGAAGCTTCTGTACCAATCCTCGCATAAATTCATTTTCAAAGCAGCGGATTTATGGGAATAATTAAGGGTTTATTATCAAAATTACCGTTTTTGGTAAAAACAATTGTTAAAACATCAGGGTTTTGTACGTTCTAACAAAATCACCATTAAAATTGTCAAATGACGAATTTCAAACTTGCGTCAGAAATAGTATCCACAAACCCACAAAAAGCCCAGTGGTGATTTCCAAGAAGAACGTTCCTTTTTCGTATAATATTTGGATTAGAATTAGATCGAAGTCTTGTAATTCTCTTGATTGGAATGTTTGGTGTATCAGCCATTTAAAGGCTTTGTTATAACTGCTAGCCTTTTGTGGTTTTTAATAAATTCTGATGTTTATGAAAAAAGAGTAGTATCGACAGGACATGAAAAAGTATCATTTTCTTGTAAGAAATAAATAAATATTTTTTACAAAATTATTATTGATTTGTTGGTTGGTTAGTTTTTTTTTTCTCTTTCCATATGTGAGATTATGTGTTCATTTCCTTACTGCAATTTTTAGAATAATAAATATGAAATTAAAAGCTAAAAACTAAGAAAATGACAAATAGCAGGATTCGAACTCTGGTCTGAGGTGGAAGAAAATTATTGCAAACCAACTCTCATGGGCGGACCTGATGTGGTGGCATGGGTGGCACGTGCCACCGTATTATTTCGCTGCCGAAGGGTAAAAAATTTAGGTTTGTTAACGGTGTTACCATATCGTTTTAGAAGGTGCTACCGTATCGTTTTAGAAGGTGCTATCGTATTTATCTGAAATCCAAATGGTGCAACTAAAACCCAAACAAAGCAAAGCCCAAATAACCAAAACCGTACTTTTTGTAATTATTTTTGGGTATATATTGACCGTTTTCAAAAGATGAAGACGTGTCGGGTACATGTTTAGGAGTTGTTTATCGGTACTTAGGGCTGTAAACGAACCGAACGAACATGAACGGAGGCTTGTTCATGTTCGTTCGTTTAACTTAACTGAACAAACACGAATGGTAAACGAACGAAAATCTTTGTGTTCGTGTTCGTTCGTTTAGAAATAAGGTGTGTTCGTGTTCGTTTATGTTCGTTCGTAAACATGCTAAACAAACGTAAACGAACGAACATAAACGAACGGGCTAAACGAACATAAACGAACATAAATAAATATTTTTTGAATTCAAAGTAAATAAGTAAAAGATGATATATTAAACTTAATATATAAACGAACATAAACGAACGGTAAATGAACGAACGAGACTCTTGTTCATGTTCGTTCGTTTAACTAAGCGAACAAAAAAATAGTTCATGTTCGTTCATTTATTAAATAAACGAACTTCCTGCCGAACGGTTCGCTGAACGTTCGGTTCGTTTACAGCCGTATCGGTACTATAAAAACCATATTTTTTATAATTATTTTTAAATGTATATTATACTATATTAATTATATGGTGCAACCGTTTGAAAATTTTTCTGGGTCCGTCCCTGCCAACTCTATCAAAAAAAATTTGTGTCTTCATCGTAGCTTCAAAAATTATAAATTGACACCAACAAATTAATACCGTGACACTTTTCACGACCCTATAATTTTTTATGCTTCAACAAAGGAATGACGCAATGGTCCACAAATACCACCTAATCCAATAGAGTGGGTATGCCCCTGGTTGTTGGTATCTGAATTTGGTTGTGCACATCTAGACTAATGTCAAAGGCATTAGAGAACAGTCAGACAAAACCCTAGTCACGTTGTAGGACATAAAGTCCTAAACTGGTCACTTATGAAGAAGAGCCCAAATGCCCAAGCCTTATTGGCAATTGACTATCAATCTGCTAATTTATATGCATTTCCATGCAAATGCAAATCGCCAATTTTTCTTCAATTTCATCAAAAAGTGGGTCCCATTTTTGAAGTAAAGTTGAATCCATCAGTTAGCGGATTTAATAGGTGGAATCAATGGCCATTTTTATAAGAATAGTTAAAAAGCTGGTCAAATGGTCATTTTTGTGCAAATGCTTAAAAAAACTGGTTTTTATGTTTGATTTAGACAAAAAAATATACTCAAATTCATGCTCGAATTGAAAAATATGTTTATTGGTTTGTAAAGCCCTTAGTAAGAGAATATAGATGTATGTTATGTTCGCGACTTGTGGTCAAGTTGTTTCACGAGTCATTTTATCATTTGAGGGTGAATCTACTTGAACGACATTGTGTGATACACGGTTCAACTTCCTCGGTTTTACTGCTTTAATAATATACGTTATGTATAACAAAAAAGCACGTGAACTTCAAACAACGTAACTTACGAATCAAGTTTGCTGATAAGGATTGTGACCGATTGACAACAAAAATTAGTACTTGTAATATTCTTCGTAATTTTTTTTTTATAAAAATGTGAATCACAATTAATTTTAGAATGAATTATACTTTTGGTCCCTATAGTTTCTCCAAATGCTGATTTTTCTCTCCTTACGGTTACTTACTGACGGTGTTAACTCAAGGAACCTTCAATACTATGAACTAAAAAAGGTTAGGAACCATCAGATAGATAATTAACTTTTTTTAAAAACTTCATGATGTAATTTATATTGTCAGATACTATAAATAAAATGCTTACTTGTGATCATGCTTAATTAAATTTTAGTATGTTATTTTTCATATTTTGTGAAACAAATTTATCTAGATATATTAATGTTCATATATGAAATTACCTAAGCTAGCATTCGTTATCTTGGATGAAAACCTAAAATTTTATTATATTTTTTGTTAAATTAAATTGCTATTGCTTAATAATATTATCATAACACATTAATTGTTATGAAGCAATTAATAATACAGTTAGCCGAAATAATAATAATAATAATAATAATAATAATACACTACAACAAAATAGGGTTTCTATGACACTTCAAATTTCTAAGCGTCCTAATAAACCTCATTATAAGACTTACTTTATAGGACCAAAAAAATAAAATGTCCTATCTAAGAGAGTTGTAATAAATTTATAAGACGTTTTTTTGACGTCGTAATAAGTATTTTAGGACACTTTTATTATAAAGCGTCTCATTAGCAACTTTATAGGACACTTTTTGAAAAACTGTCATATAAAAATAAGTGTCATAAAAAATTGAGTTTATAGGATACTTTCTCAAAAGTGTCATATAAAGTTGTTAATGCGACATTTTGTATTAAAAATGTCCTAAAAAACATGTTAAGACGTCCAAAAACATCATATAAACTTATTACAATACCTTTAGATATGATGCTTTATATTTTGGTCCTATAAATTAAGTCCTATAAAATGGTACTACAAGAAAAATGATCTTTAGAGAAGCTTTTCTTTTGTATTTAAAAGTTTGAAAAACTTCTCTAAAACCTTTAGAGAAGCTTTTTACTTCCGTTAGCAACCTTCCCTATATAACGGTAGGAGAAGGTTTTAGGGAGGGTTTTCGAAGGGTACATTTATGTTGACATTTAGAGAAGCTTATTTTAGGCTTTGGAAACACTTTCAAAGCGTATCTAAAGGTTGGCCGAATTTTTTTGAAAAGCTTCCCTAAAAATATGTATTAGTGACGTTTTTTAGCAGCAATGACAGTTTTTAAGCGTCACTAAAAGTTACCTTTAGAGAAGGTTTTTAGAAAAGCTTCTCTAAAGATATATGCTTTAGTGACGCCATCTGCAAAGCTTCTCTAAAGGCATGATTTAGTTACATTTTCCTTACCTTCTCTAAATGTTATATTTAGATACAAATGATTGGAATGTTTGCTAAAAGTATAAGCTTTAGTTACACTCTTTGTAAACCTTCTCTAAAAGGGTATATGATATTATTTATATATATACATATATATAGTTCGTATTTCAGCTATATATATATTACAATAAAATAAATAACACCAACCAAAAATAACATCAAAATACTAAAAAAATATAATTTTATATATTTGTCATAAAAGACATAAATCTCAAACAAACCGTAACGTTTTAACCAATCTACATATTTGTTCTAATTTATTTAAAAAAAATCTAAAATCATATAACCCAAGATCTTCAATGTGCCAATTCCATTATTTTATCTGCAATAAGTAAATAGGACATCAAAGTAGCTTCGTTTTATTTCTTTATCCCATCATGAATATACTTGAGGACCTGATAAACCAAAAAAAGAAAGTGTTAARCTTTATAGACCCAAAATTTGCATTAAAGTAACGAAAAAACAATTCCTTTAACACCAGGCTTGAGAATCYACATGYTACAAAGCYAATAACAGAAGTTTTTGAATTATGAGCATCTCTATAACTAGTGAACAGTTACCACTTTATTTTGTTTTGGCTAAAGTGTTGAAAGATTGGATCATGGCATGAGATTCTAGTTTATGTACCCTTGCCGTAAGCAAAGCAGAAGGTCCCRCGTCCTCATACCTCGATGTTAGATCTAATTATGGCTCTCAATGCCACAATCTTGAAACCAACCGTTAGAATTGGATCATCCCCATTGTTCTACCTGAATGYAGATCATAAACATTGAGCATGAAAAATGGAGCAAACAAATTGAATCCATGGTACAAATCCATCACTAAATCCAAATACATTACAAAATTCGAACATAAAGTAGAGAACAATAGATTTTTAGAGCATAGAGTGGACGGAGAAACACAATATTAGCTATATTTTGATCTAAATTCATAACTAAGTTCTAATTTTGTTTCCTATATATAACCATGGTAGCCAAAATTTGCTATTTGTATCCATGTAATTGTGACTCAGAAAGAAAACAATATGAACAACTTTTGGTACAATTAAACCATACTTTGTCAATTGTCGTGGCCAGGGATGATCATCTCATCATGGTCTTTTATACTTGTATTACTATACTAATCAAGAC